GTCAGAGGCCATCTTATTAAGTATGAGATGTTTATTAGATCTCCAAGTAGAGATGTTAAGAAAAAAATTTCTACAGACTTCCTGCCAAGATGGAGGCATAGGTAGACACACTGTGCCTCCTCACACAACCAAGATAGGGACAACAACAATTTAGAAACAGAATAACAACCAGAACTGACAGAAAATTGAACTGTATGGAAGTTGGACAACCAAGGAGTTAAAATAGACCCATTCATCCAGACCTGTAGGAGGGGCAGAGCCGCGCAGCTGAGCGCAGGTCAGCACGGAGAGCAGAGTATTGGGACAGGCGCGTAAGGCATCCAGGGCGCGCAAGACCACAGCAGGCTGACCCCAGCCGAGGGGTGGCAACCGGCAGACCCAGCAAGGCGGCGTTTGTGAGGCAAGGCACTGTGCCCAACCAAGGATCACAGCGCTGGGAAATAGAACCTCAGGCACTGATGAAAACACCTCTGGGGGTTGAGGGGCAGGAAGAGACTCCCAGCCTCACAGGAGAGGTCGCTGGAAAATCCCACAGGGTGCACAAGCCTACCCACGCAGGAATTGGCACCAGAAGGGCCCAATTTGTTCAGGGGAAGCAGAGGAAGGGACTAAGGTCCACAGAGAGCAGAGCAAGCACCATTGTTCCCTCTCGGACCCCACCCCCACATACAGCATCATGACCCAGAGACTGGGGTGCCCATCCTGGTGAACACCTAAGGCTCCGCCCCTCATATATAACAGGCGAGAGCAGAGCAAAGGAAAAAAAAAGATGGCTCAAACAGAAGAACAATTGAAAGCCCCACAACCAGTACTTTAAAGCAACCGAGAGATGCTGAGAGATAGTCAACCTATCAGATGCACAGTTCAAAGGACTGGTCATCAGGATGCTCACAGAATTGGTTGATTTTGGTCGCAAACTAGATGAAAAAAATGAAGGCTAAAATAAGTGAAATGAAAAAATGCACAGGGAACCAATAGTGATGGAATGAAAGCTGGGTCTCACATCAACAGAGTGGACCAGAAGGAAGAAAAAAACATACAATCATAAAAGAATGAAAAAATAAGAATTCAAAATAATGAGGAGAGGCTTAGGAACCTCCAGGACATCTTTAAACGTTCCAATATCCGAATTATAGGGGTACCAGAAGGAGAAGAGGAAGAGCAACAAGTGGAAAACCCATTTGAACAAATAATAAAGGAGAACTTCCCCAATATGGCAAAGGAAATAGACGTCCAGGAAGCTCAGAGAGTCCTAAAGAAGTTGGACCCAAGAAGGAGCACACCAAGGCACATCATAATTACATTAGCCAAGGTAAAAATGAAGGAGAGAATCCTAGAAGCAGCAAGAGATAAGGAGACAGTAAACTACAAAGGAATTCCCATCAGACTGTCAGCTGATTTCTCAAAAGAGACTTTACAGGCAAGAAGGGGCTGGAAGGAAGTATTTGAAGTCATGAGAGGCAAGGACCTACATCCCAGATTGCTCTATCCAGCAAAGCTTTCATTTAGAGTGGAAGGGCAGATAAAGTGCTTCTCAGATAAGGTCAAGTTAAAGGAGTTCATCATCACCAAGCCCTTATTATATGAAATGTTTAAGGGGCTTATCTAAGAAAAATAAAATTAAAAAAATGTATAGTAAAATGACAGCAAACTCACAATTATTAACAACCACACCTAAAACAAAAACAAACCAAGGAAACAACTAGAATAGGAACAGAACCACAAAAATGGAGAACACATGGAGGGTTAGCAACAGGGGGGTGGGAGGAGAGAGGGGGAAAAGGTATGGAGAATAAGTAGCATAGATGGCAGGGAGAAAATAGACAGGGGGAGGGCAAGAATAGTATGGGAAATGTAGAAGCTAAAGAACTTATGACACATGGACATGAACTAAGGGGGGAATGTGGATGGGAGAGGGTGTGCAGGGTGGAGGGGAATGAAGGGGGAGTAATGGGATAACTGTAATAGCATAATCAATAAAATATATTAAAAAATAAAATAAAAGAAGGACAAAAAGAAAAAAAATTCTGATGCATGTGCCTAAGATGGAGGAGAGAACTGAAAGGTGAAGATACCAATTTTAGTCACTGGTTAATATTTAAATCTCTATGAATAATATATCATATAGGTAGAGAACAAAAGGAAATAAACTGAAAATAGAAATATATATTTGTATTAGAGCACAGTATATTATAAAAATATAATAGAAAATAGCATGCATTTCATGGGCTAAGGGCAAGTACTACTAGTCCATAGCATTTTTATTTCATAGAGACCTGACAGGTTGATAGATGTATATATAAACTGGTTAATATATGTAATTCATATACTTATGAATGTAGTGGGAATAATGTAAAATGTATTTCCTATCATAAATTGAGATTAAAAAAAAGCTAAGAAATTCTAGGGAAATGAGAAGCCAGGAAGAGATAAACAATTAGACACGATGGTAGGATAGGAAGAACATCATGAAAGTATGTACATGTACAAAAAGCCAAGAGAAATGCTTCATGGAAAGAATTCTCACTTGTATAAGAGATTAAGTACAATTAGGACTAATAAGTGACCACAGAATTAGCAATATGGAAGCCATTTGTTACTGACCTTTATAAGGTCAACTTCAGTGTATAGTGGGAGTAGAAAACATTTTAGAATGAAGGAGAGACTGACAAAGTAGACACAACCAATGTATACAGCAAAAGGAAAACCTCCCTGGTAATCCGAAATTTGAAAATCAATTTACTGTGTAAAAGAGCCCAGAAGAGTTCTAAAATAAACTGGCTGTGATTTCCATGGAGCATACCTGTGTCACAGATTGCTAACCTCCATTGTCAACTGCATTTGGAGATTGGGCCTTGAATTTTTTTTTTAATCCTCACCTGAGGAAGTTTTCATTGTTGTTATTGATTTTAGAGAGAGGGACAGAGAAACATCAGTTGCCTCCCCTACCCAACCTGACCCAGGATCCAACAGCCATCCTAGGTATGTGCCCTGGCGGGAATCGGACTCACAACCTTTTGGTGTATGGGACGTGATACTCCAGCCACCTGACACACCAAGCAGCCCAGGACTAGAGAGGTCTTTAGAGAGTTAATTAAGTTTAAATGAATTCATAAGGGTGGGGCCCTAATCCAATAAAACTGGTGTACTTATTAGGAAAGATTAGGACATAGGAAAGACCACGTGAAGACACAGGGAGAAGGCAGTTTCTATAAACCAAGGAGAGAGGCCTCAGAAGAAATCAACCCTGGTGACACTTTGATATCAGATTTCTGGCCTCCAGAACTGTGAGAAAAAAAATTTCTGTTGTTTAATGTTTATAGTATTTTGTTATGGTAGCCCTAGCAAACTAACACAGCACACTAGGGTCTCTCTCACATCTGTTAGGATCCTTTCCTCCTCTCCGTAAACCCCAGGGCCAACCTAGTCAAAGCACGAAGCTTCCCTATCATTAGCTCCCCGCCCCGCCCCCCCCAAAAAAAATGCTTGGATTACTTCTCCATAATGTTATTAGTTCTTGACCATTCCAATCAAAATAATGTGTTCTTTTATTTACTACATCTCTTGTCTAATTCCATGTTTTCTGAAACCAAAGACAGGGCACTTTAGGAAAAAAAATGAGTAAAGTCAAATAGTAACTGAGTGCTGAGAGCAAGTCTGATATTTGTAGCAATTAGGAACTTTGATGTCCCAAAGGCAAGTTTGGCAAATATTATATCAAAGGTGTTGTCACATGTCACACAGTCTGAATATCACATTGCCATCTCCAGGTAGTTTACATCAAATTAGAAAAGAAAGCATGTGCTTTCCTCCTTCCTCATATCAAAACAAATCACAAAGATCTGGTTTTCCTTACTTCAAGAATCCTAAATACCAAATATGCTAACATCAAAAGCAGAAAATTTAAAAAATCTTTTCAATTTTTTTATCATCAGAAAAGAAAGGCAATAAGTTAGAAGCTTTACTCTGGGGCTTTAGTAAAGCAAGAAAATTAAAAGAATATACACAAGTATATAGACATAAATACATATACGTGCATATGCACAAACACACATATCTTCTCCAAACACAACTCTGATAGTAAGCAGTTAGTGCATTAATCATATAATGAATACACCCTAGTATTTATTTTGAATTCTGACCAATTACTGCATTAACCTGAAACCATATTTCAATAATGCAGTTATGAAAAAATCAATTCTTTCACACTGGGTTCGAGACACTTCCCAAATTTTCACAGTTGCTCAGCCACTCTGCTAAAAGACCACTTGTTGTTATTAACTCCTGTGTATATAGCAAACAAAAAGATCTAAAATTGTGCTAATATTACCTTGAGAAGAAAGTTTTATGTCTTCTCATTCCAAGAAGGAAAAACCCCACAGCAGACAAAATAGCACCATTATTACAGAACTAAGAGTTGGGTTACCTGACCCTGGAAGTTTAATATAGCCAGTGTTTTTAAGGTCTACCTAGTCTCAACATTTCTGTTGGGAATTTAGTTTAAGCCTGAACTCCAAGTAAGCAAATGATTTCACATCTGCTTCAAACCCAACCCTGACCCTATTCCTGATTAAAAGAGAGGTAAAACCTCTCTTTACTTTAGTGTAAGAATCTGTAAAAAAAAAAGAAAAAGGAGTAACCAATCAGTTCACCTTCGAATACAGGCCAAGGTTAAAATCTGGGCAGACTGTGGTAAGAATGGCAATCAAGAGCAGACGCTGCCAGTGAAGCAATATCTGGTTTAAACCCGAGTGAAGATGCCCAGACCTGGATTCTGTTCTTTCCCTCTCCAGGATGCCAGAGGGCCTGTCATGTGTCAGGGGTACATCTCCTCTGAGCTCACTCCTGAGAGGTAAGTAGACAACAGATGATTTTAAGACACTTGTCCATCCACGCCTTATTCTTTTTTTAACCAGACAGAACAAGCAAGTCAGCAACACCAGTAAAGCTGGCATGTGTACCGCGGCGTGCAATTGCTCTACAGCAGATGCCCCACTCACCGCACACCATCAGCAGCAGGACGATCAGCAGCGTGGCCACGAACACCAGCAGGGTCAGCCCGACGTTGTGCCACATCTTGGGGGGCGAGGGGCGGCCGGCTCAGAGCAGCAAGGCGAGGGGCGCGGGCGGTCCGGCGGATGGGTCTCAGGCTTCAGTGGCGGGCACCCAGCGCCGAGCGGCAGCCGGGCGGCATGGGAGGCCGGAGCCCCTCGGTAGCGCCCCCAGGGGGCGGGGCGGCGCAGCGAGGGGCAGTCAGCGCCCCCAGGGGGCGGGGCGGCGTGGGGCAGACACCGCAGCCAACTGGCCGATAGACCCTTCTAGCCTGGGTCAGCTGAGCGCGGGCGAAGGCGTGCCGCGGAAAACCCCTACCCACTCATCGCTCCCGGGAGCCAGGGAACCGGCGCCCGAAGACCCCGACGGCGGCCGGATGCGCTTCCATGGCGGACACCATGAGCCTGTGGATAGGAGAGAGGCCAAGCACAGGGACGCGCGACGATCACACGGCCGTCGTGACCGCGTGCCCCGAGGGTTCCTGCGGCCCTCACGAACGGTAGACCTCTCCTGGAAGCCGCTACAGCTGCTTCTCAGCCCCAGACCCCCTCCCGCTGCGGCAGCTCCTCACCAAGAGTCTCCACCCCTTGCCGCCTCTGCGGCGCGGGGACGGCTGGGAAATGCAGTCCAGAGCCCGGTGGAGGCTTGAGAAGGCCGCCCCAAACGAACTACCACTCCCAGGATGCGCCACTTCTCAGTGGCTATGCTTCTCCCTCCCTCGTCCCCAGGATTTGGCTTTGGTGTTTCTCACGCCACAACCTCTGTCTACCGACTGTGGGTTTTGTGTTCTCAGAACCCTCGCAGTTGGCTGTGCCGAAGTGCTAGACTGATTTCAACCATTAGCCACATACAAAGACGTTTGTTTAAGACCGTGAATGACAAAGCACGAAGAGGAAGGAAAGGGGTGGCAGCTGTCTGAAAAACTGGTTGCATATGAACCTAGCCCTATACCTGGGGGTGAAGGTCGTATACTTGCGAGTTTTGAGGAAGTACCCGCATCCCTGCCAAAGAAACTAGCCAGGGGCACGGAATCTCCTCTTTCTTCCTGCAACGATGTTGTTCTATGTATTTTCATAGTTATGTATTTCAGAAATGGTCCGCGGTGTACTTAAGGACATCTGCTTTGCCCTTAATTTATCTCAGTTGTCAATTTAATCCGTGCTGCGTCCTTGAGACCAAGAGACTGATGACCCACAACTGAAGATTGTGTTGCACTGGCTTGAACAAACCACTGTGAAACAGGACACTAATAATCTCCAGTATTCTGTCTCTACCTGAAATTAAGAGTCCTCAGTTCTGCCAGATTATATTCATTCATTAAAGAGGAGAAAATAAATGTGTAGGCCTCTTTTAGAAGGAACCAGATATAGCCTTCATGTTTTTCTATGGCTCTTGCTCCCTCCAAAACCTTTCTCTGCTACAAATTCCTTTACCCTCTCCTCCAAAAACAAGCAAACGAAATCTGTGTAGCAATCCTTTGATTTAATATATCCTGACCATACCCAGCTGCCTTACTCTGTAAACTGTATTCCCTATGAAACAGTATTATAACTGAATATGTACTATATATGAGATATTAAGGGATAATGACTTTGCAGAAGATTAATACAGGGTTCCTATGAAGAGAGAATGATCTCAGTGCAGTTAAGATGTATTTATAAAAAATAAATTAGTGCTTCTTTCATAGATGGTTCAATTGTATTATATAAATAAAATGTTTTATTAAAATCTAGTTGAAGAGTTAAAAAGAACATAGAAGAACTGGAAGAATTTATTTTAAAGTCTTTTATCTCTCTTCATATATGTTGAATACCTAATAGAGCCAAGCACTGTTGTAAGTGCTGGAGATACAGCAGCCTAATAAGACAAGCAAAGGCATTTATGCTTGAGATGCTTATTGTAGTTGGAAGATAGAACCAATATGCATAAATAGGAAAATCTCAGGAAATGCCAATTCTTATGTTGAAAACAAGCCAAACAGTGTGATAAAGATAGGGGTGTTATTTTCTTTTTTAATTTTTAATAGTTCATTTTTATTGTATTTTTTCATGGCAGGGGTGTTATTTTAGATTAGAGATCAGGGAAGACCTACTAGAGAAAGTGACATTTAATGAGACCTAAATGACAAAAAAGGGTTCAGCCATGGAAAGACCTAAGAGGGAGAGAGTGCCAGGTGATGGGGGCAGCTAATGCAAAAGCCACAAAGAGCAAACAAACTCACCCATATCTCTAAACCTTGGCAGTGTTTCTCAACCCTGGACGGCCATTTCGAATCACCAGTAGAGATTTAAAACTTACAAATGACTAGCCCTCATCCCCATACCAAATGAATTAGAATTGGTGGAGATCAGGCACAAGCTCAGTAGTTACTAAAAGATCAGGTGATACTTTTGTGAATCCCACGGTTGAGAACCATTATTCTAAAGCAGTGATTCTCAGTGAATGGCCTCTGGACCAACAATCAGCATCACCTGAGAACCTGTTAGAAACACATGTTCTCAGACCCTGCCCCACACCTATTGAGTCCCAAACTCTAGAGTAATCTAAGGAAAGGGTGTTGTTTTAGATTAGGGTAGTGATGAATAAAACGCAAAGTAGACAAATTAGGGATATGTTTTAGAAGGAAAATCATCAAGATTAGCTGCTGGATTAGATGTGGGGACTGGTAAGAAAAAGAAATAAAAAATGATGTCAGGTTTTTAGCCATAGTTTCTAGGTGAAGGGCAGAGCCACTTCCTGAAATGGGGAAGATTGTACAACCATCCCCTCAGAATGCTTTACCAACTCATATCTTTACAAATGATTCTTAAATGTCTGGGTGGAAGATGTTGTGGCTGTGACAAATTCACACAGCCAGGAAACAAAGTCTCCTAACTCAAAAGTCCAAGATCCTTCCCACGAAACCATGCTGCCATATGTCTTATCATTTGCTATATTAGCATAGGTCATTTTTCTAAAGATAAATTCTGTAAGGGTTTTCAAGAGTAAGGTTTGAGGTAACTTGAGCCACAATCATTTCTATAGTCCTCCTACTTACAGTTCTCAGCCCTGAATAAAATGCTCTGCTCTGCTCTGCTCTGCTCTGCTCCTTCCTTTCTGACTACCTCAATCATAATTATCCTGCAATGTCTGTCCAATTTCTTCCTCAAGAAAACCTCCCAGTTCCTGTTCATGTGTCTGCCCAGCTCATCTAAGGCAATTATCTCAGCCCTACCAGTACGCTGGGATTACCCAGGTAGCTTTAAAAACAGATCACTGGTTTCATTCCAGGCTTAGTGAAGGTGGGGAGTATGGTGTAAATGGTCTGTTATTGTTTAATGTCCTCCAGGTTTTGATGAACAGTCAGACTTGAGAAACACTAGTGCTAACTATATTTAAAAATCAATTAGTACTCATTTTGTGATATTCCTTGGGTTGTTTTACATTATTATTTTATATATACATACATTGTGTGTGTGTGTGTGTGTGTACCAAAATCTGATTTTTCAAAGGGAATATTTACCCCCTCTCTGCCGTTTCCTTCCACAAGGGAGGAAGCTCAATTGGCAATAATTTGTCTGGTCTCTCTATGCTCTTTTATTCCTTCTGTGGCTGGTGAGGGGAGGAGTGATTTATCTAACTGGTACATTTAGAAAAAATAAACTGGGTTTGCTGAGCTTGTTTCTTCCCACATTCTTCTTAAGCTGTCTTATGCCTCACCAGCACAGGCTTTCAACATAGGGAGGGCCACCTAAGTTCAGCAATGCCTCAAATTAGGGTTTAATTAACAGGCCAGACTGGCTTTCACATTATTATATGTTTTCTGATTTAATCTTTCTTATTAATAAAGGTGATAGTATGGCCTTCATATGTCTTATTTGTTTTTTAAATTTCTCAGCTGGGCAACATGTATTCCTTGTTCCCCCTCAGTGATCCCACACTGCTTTTAAAATAATTAAGGGAAAGAGCCAGGAATTCAGTGTTTCTGTATGGCCACATATTAGGGGTTTGTCAGATACTGATTGATCCAAATGCTTGATCTCTAAAGCTTGGCAATAGGCCTAACTTTTAGCCATTTGTTCTCTAAATATTGTGGGAAGAGTTATGCTAAATGTTGGATACATACAAAGTAACTAGGATGAGACTCTTGTCCTCAAGGAAACCCAATCCTATGGCAAGTATTTACCAAATAACTACTTTGTGCCAGAAACTGTATTTGCCAATAATAATACAAAACATAAACAAAATATGAACCCTGACATAAAAGAACCCAAGGATTTTTTCAATGTTGAACCATCTGTGCTTCATGAAATCAGTTTAGTGAGGAATTGACCAACCACTAAAGGAATAGAATAGAATAGAAGAATAGAATAGATCAATATGCACTACAAGTAGTAAATGCAAGCACTGCTCATGAAATTTGTTTCAGTTATCTGTGAATGTATGTGTGATTTGAGTTGCAATACAAAAATATATTCTTACTGCGGGCTATAGTTTTTAAAAGCCAAAGATCCGTAAGCTAGCAGGTGGGTCTAGGCATGTACATAAGTGACAATTTTAAATATTATTTTACATGAATATCATTGAGATTTTATAGATGAAATTGAGGCTTATGAAATCTAAAAAATTTGGTAGTAGGTAATGGATAGATTTGACATTCAAACCCCAGTGTGCCGGACTTGAAATTTTGTTTCCATTGTACCACAAGACTGGGGGTGACGGTAGGAAAGTTCTTGAGAAATGGGAAAGATTAAGGAAAAAGTCTTGAAATCATGAAAATGTATTTTGTGTGTGTCTGTGGGGGAAGGGTGAGGGTCCTTAAGATTCCATGAAAAGACACAATTTCTTTCAGTTCTAATGAATTTGGAGTAGAGGTGTTATGTGGTGGTAGAGAACTCTTGTTTTATAACTAGACTCTGGCTATGACTTCTAACTTGGTTGAATTACTTCATCCCTAAGAGATTAAGCCTCTGTTATATTTGTAAACATTTATAAACTAGGTCTAATAACAGTACCTTCTTCATAGGGTTGTTTTGAGAGTTTAATGAGATGGTATAAAAAACTGAGCACAGCACCCAACACTTAGGAGCTCTTCAATAAA